GCATGGGGAGAAACAGGCGCGGGGCTTCCTGAGCCTGACTTAGGAGCCACGTGGCCTCTGGTTACCACCAGGTTTAGAAATAAGAGCATGGAATAATGCCCGCGGCCGTGCTGGCGCGGGAAACGCGAGCGCGGGCTTCCCGCACCCCCCGCGGCGGCGCGCGGTTCCCTTCCTTCGGAAACACCGGACTGTCAAACTAAACACTAAATAGGAGCCCGGGTTGTCTTTTCTGAGTCATTTAATTGAAACGACGACCAGTTTTCCCTGCCTACGGATCCCGCTTGGGCCGCTGCTGCTGAAGACCGCGAGCCGCCTGGAAAACCAGCGGCTTTTGGCTACGTCGAAATCTGGGGGCTTTGGGGAGGCTTTTCCTCTCCCCGTCCCCGGCGCAGGCCCCCGTCTGTGCTTGGCCTCGTGGCCTTCCCGCGGCCCCGGCACGGCGGAGTTGGAGCCTCGGCAGAGCAACGCAGCCTTATCAGAGAGCTTCAGCTCGGGAGCCCTCTGAGCAGAATTTCCCTGGAATTGAAGCAGCTGTGCGAAAGACTTTGCTTTCGGCGTGTCAGTATTTCTGATGGAAAAGCGTTCCGTCAGAACGTGTCTCTCCAGCTCTAGGCTAGCGTTTCGCACGAGCAGGGCTTCACTGTCTCCCCAGCAACTGGGGCTGCTGGTCCGCTCAAACGTATTTCCATACTTAACCTCCGGCAACTGAAAACGGAAACTTTTTGTCGGCAGGGTATTCTCAGGCGTCGGCCAGAGAGCACGGCGCTCTGAGCCAAACGGCGGCAAACGCGACAGGATTTTCCCCACAAATTTCTGTGGATTTTAAAATTGAATCCTACGTTGTTGTCCGGAATAACTGCTCGAACTCTTTGAGGTCTGTGGATAGAAAGGACTGGGTAAGAGGCAGGTAGTGATTTTATACGAGTGAGGACCGCGTGGCAGTGCTGGGATTTTAGAAGAAGATAAATAAGCCAAACCTGTGATTTTTGAGTCCTGATTTTTGGCTTCTCGCATGTTTTCCTCTCCATGGAGAGCCGCTCCACGTCCCATCACGCGACGGGAAACGTCCTGGAGACGCCCGCGGCTTCGCGGCTGGCAGAGCACCCTGGACCTGCAGTTCGCTCTTCCTGCGAGCACCGGCACATCACGCCTAATGCAACGGCGAAGCAACCGGCAGCACACTCGCATGAGACAATGTTATTGTTTCTGTGCAGGCTTTCTCCTGTTTTAAATATATTTACGCAAGCTGGGTAAGCTCTGCTGCCGTGAAGTCTTGCTTTGAGGTGGATGCTCAGCTGGACTGCTGTGGCCTTTAAGTGCCTTAAGGGTCTGACCCTGACCCTCTCCTCCTGCCCTGATAACGTTTCCCTTGGTGCTGATAGAGAACTTGTCCTCTTCTCCAAACGTCAAGGCTTTCCAGAGGCAGGGTTAAAACGTGTATGTGAATAATCCCCATCACTTTTGGTACTGTCAGCACTGCAAAGAAGTCACATACGACAGCGATAAGCACGCAGAAGAGGAAAGAGATGACGAATTACCGTGTGTTGGGAAGAGGGTTTTGAACAGCGTCCCTCATCAAGGCCTGGATGACACACTGAAGCAGGAGAGGTAGAGGCATTTCTGAAGAGCTGCTCGTGAAGGTCACAACATCTCTGCGCGGACTGAACGAGTCCTCCGGAAAAAATAATGCGTTTCTGACGCGCGGGAAGGTCACGCTGCCTACCGCGGGAGCGTTCGACCTTAAACCTTCATCCTGCTCCTGTAGCGCGGGTCTCACGTGTTTGCCCACGTGCACACGCAGAGCCCGGAGGAGGGATGGACTGGCCAGGTTCACCTCTTCCACGCACATTTTCATGCCTCCCACGCAGACGCTTTGGCAGCTGGCGTTGCCCCAATAGCTACTCTGATGGCAACCTTAGATTCAAACCATCAGGCATTCGTTCAGATACGAAAAGCACTGTTCTTCACTTTTTTATTACAGTCTCAGAAAATGCTCAGGCAGATTACTTTCGGGGGTGGGGGGGGAAGGTATTTTGACATTCCCGTAAAATCTTCCACTAGATAGGTAGTCATTACCATAGATCATACTAGATTATATATATTCTTAATATGTATACGATATTCTCTTGGATGGGAAGGGGAGAAAATACGAAAGTCTAGGAAGGAATGAGGACTGGAGAGAAGTGGTGAATTTGACCTGAGCAAAGCAAGAAACTCGGCCTTCTAAATCGAACGCCAGACGGCGTGTGAAAAATGCCAGTGGAAACATTACCCACTCCGGGTTATCCCCCTAGTTATCAAGGTATGCGAAGAGGCGTTACACTTAGTAGCATGACATGAGTAAGAGTTTTACAGGGATTAACATGGCTGGAGCCGTCTCCCCCAGGAACGACAGCGAACAAGCTGTCTGGGCGCAGGCCTTTCGGCTCAGGCGGTTATAGACCTTCCCGGAGCAGAAATCCGGAGGGCTCATACACTACTGAAGCACAGGACGGTCCCTTTTGTCCCCTTGGGCGCCCGTATGCCGAGAAGCGCCTGGAAACGCGAAGGGCGACCTCTTTAATATTGACTCGATCTGTCGGCTCGAGGTTCGGGTAAGCGTGCACGTTCCCAGCGGAGCTGGATGTCTTCTCGCCTTGTATTTGTTGGATGCTCCTGAGCTGGGAGAGTCGACTTCCGAGGAATTCGGGAGCACGGAGGCGGTGCTGAACCCCTGGAACATCGTCCTGCTCCAGGGTGCATGGGATCCACCCATGAACCGCTGTGTGCCTTTAGAGATACAGCGAAGGAGCGGCGGGGAATGAAGAAATGGGATTTGCTCTGCAGAAGACAGGAGAACGTATAAGCACATGTATTCTTTCCATACATTTAAGAAATAGGATTTCCTGTTCAAGCGCCCATGTTGAATAAAAGGGACAAACCCAGCTTTCCGGGAGCTGCGAGTTTCTTTACTGCTCCTTTGCCGTTCCCCGTTCCATGTCCGTTCGGGGGGCAGAAGCTGGGCTGGGGAAGTAGCCCCGGACGGAGGCTGCGGAGCGGCAGAGATGAGCTCTTCGTTTAAAAAAAGAGAAGGGATGCTGGCTGCCCAAACTTTTCAGTATTCACAGATAAAGTGCACACTGCAGATTTTACCATTTCCCACATGATTCCCAAGCGGAAATCAAGGCTTACATTCTGTGTAGAATTTATTAAAGATGAGTAATTGGACCAGCTGAAGGGGTGACACACAGGAACAAAATCCAGAACATTTGCACTGAACCGCAGAACCTGCTGTGATGCGTTTGTTATCCGAGCCGTGGCGAAGCCTTCGCGCGACTCCACCGGCATAAGGAGGCACGTGGTGAAAGCTGAGCCTCCTTCCTGGAGCACCCATGTTTTGCTGTGGCTGGGATAAAAATGAAAAGGAAAAAAAAAAGGAAAAAAAAGAAAAAAGGGGGAAAAGAAAAAATTAGGAAAAAGGGAAAAGAAAAAAGAAAAAAGAAGAGAAATAAAAAAGAAAAAAGAGGGAAAAAGAAAAAAGAAAAAAGAAGGAAAAAGAAAAAAGGAGAAAAAGAAAAAAGAAAAAAGAGGGAAAAGAAAAAAGAAAAAAGGGAGAAAAAGAAAAAAATGAGGAAAATAAAAAAGAAAAAAGGAGGAAAACTATAAAGAAAATAGAAAAAAGAAAAAAGGAGAAAAATAAAAAAGAAAAAAGGGAGAAAACAAAAAAGAGAAAAGAAAAAAGGAGGGAAAAAGAAAAAATGAGGAAAAGAAAAAAGGAAAAGGAAAAAAGAAAAAAGGAGGAAAACTAAAAAGAAAATAGAAAAAAGAGGAAAAGGACAAAAGAAAAAAGAGGATCAAAGGAAAAAGGAGAAAAAGAAAAAAGAAAATAGAGGGAAAAAAGGAGAAAGAAAAAAGGAGGGAAAAAAGAAAAAAGAGTAAGAAGAAAAAGGGACAAATAAAAAAGAAAAAAGAGGAAAAAAGAAGAAAGAAAAAAGGGAGGAAGGAAAGAAGAGAAAATAGAAAAAAGAGGAAAAGGACAAAAGAAAAAAGAGGATCAAAGGAAAAAGGAGAAAAAGAAAAAAGAAAATAGAGGGAAAAAAGGAGAAAGAAAAAAGGAGGGAAAAAAGAAAAAAGAGTAAGAAGAAAAAGGGACAAATAAAAAAGAAAAAAGAGGAAAAAAGAAGAAAGAAAAAAGGGAGGAAGGAAAGAAGAGGGAAAAAAGAAAAAAAAGAAAAGGGCCGAAGGAGCCTTTTCTCAGCTCGTCGCTCCGCAGCCGGGCCCGGGGGTC